AGGGGAGGAGTAGGGTTTGAGAATTGAGATTTGGGGTTGGGGGTGGGTATATATTTAATTTAATTTAAAATATTATTATTAATATTAATTGTGAAATTAAAACCTGATTTTTGATTAAATAAAGTATAAATCTGATTTTTCAAAATATCAAACTAAACATCTGGTTTAGTGTAATTTTCCCATCAATTTTTCTTAAGAAAGAACTTGGGTGGCCAAATTTCTATGGGCTTTTGAGAACCAATCGGGCGTTCACTAGGCCCAAATTCTTCAAGTCATATTGGTAGAAGAAAGGGCAAGGTACGTTTGTATTCACTTTTTTGAGTTTATCTTTTTGTCTTTTTTTTTTTATAAGATGTATTAATTTCTTGTTGTTATTCTTAAGAAAATATAAAAAGTAAAACCCATTGTTATGAAAAAAATGAAACCGTCTAGCAGGTTCAATTGAAAAATCGAATTGTTCTTTATTAATTGAATGTCTAGACCTAAAGCGTAAGTTGTTAAATATAACGTAATTATAATTGTTCCTTTGGATATTTTATTCATTTAGTGTATTGTTTGAGGACTATAGAACAAGTACAAAAGAATAAGTCCTACTATTGTCACTACATGATGACACATTCTTCTCAGTGTTGGGCAATTACTACTTCTGGCAAGAATAAATTTAATAACCCAAACAATTAATTATAGTGATTAAATATGCGAGTACAAGATCAAAGTAACACGAGAACACAATATCGATTTTTTACTTGGAAAAAAATCCTTCGGTGTAGAGGAAAAAAACCACGGGGTAATTCTGACCAAATCCACTATAATAAATCGAGATTACGAAGTTCAAATTTATACCTAAAACTTTAGTTCTCAACAAATTGAGAATACAACGATAATCAATCTCTAAAACAATAAATAATCTCACCACAAATCACCAATTTAACTAAACATGTGAGATACCTGCTTTGAATACACCACCTCTAGAGTATCCAAAATATACCACTTAAAGTGTGTTTGATTGACGTGAAAAATATTTCCTATAAAAGAAAATGTTTTTCTCGTTTTGAGGAAAACAAAAACATACTCTACATTTTTCATGGAATATAAATGAAATCAAGTACACTCTTAGAGAAGGCTCCAAGTTGTATTGTGTAGAGAAAATACATGTGTGAATCCACAACTAAATAATATTGAGAAAAAAAAAACCTTTTCTACCTTTTCTCTCTCTTTTTCTCCACAGCGGCTAGGGCTGGACAAAATTTCTAAACCAAACTGGACCCGAACCGAACTGAATCGAATTAAGCGGTTCTTCTTAAATCAAATACTCGAATGCGTATCTAAATTAAGAACCGACGGGTTCGATTCGATTCTCGGTTTTAGATCTAGAACCGAAAAATCAAATAAGAACCGAATTTTCTTAATTTTTTTATCTTAAATAAGCCAAATTATTTTATTTTTTTCTAAATGAATTTACTAGCTAATTAATTTAGCTCAAACC